CCCTCCCCAAACTCAGGCTCCTTCCCCTCCTCCCCAAGTGCAGCCTCTTCCCTCGTGAACCCCACCCCCCCAGAGGAGCCAGACACAGGCTTTCACTTTCTTTATTCGCCCATGAGGGCACGTTCCTGAGTGACTGTCCTGTGGCAGCTGGGGATGGGGCGGCCCCCTGCAGCCTGCGGGAGGGTGTCCCTATCATGAGCTCGCTGCCTGGACTTCAGGGACCCACTCTGGTGGCCAGCATGGCATCCAGGAAACCCCCCAAGCGCGCCACCTGCACCTGGCGGAAGCCGTGTGGCTCCAGCAAGCGCTGATACTCGCCCGGGCTCCGCTCCCTGCCCTCCATCTGCAGCAGCATGTTCGGCGACTGCATCAGGCCGCCCCGCGCCTGCCTCTTCTCCTCATCCAGGAGCATCTCCACCAGCAGCACGCCGGCCCCTGAGGGGAGAGCAGAGAGCTGGGGTCCTGGCCAGCCAGGCTGGGATCCTTCAGGGGCCAGCAGGGCACACAGCGGGCAACTGGAGCTCAGAACAATGAACAGAGGCTGCCAAGAAGCCCTGCCCAGGAGACCCATACAAGTAGGGGAGGGGGGAGAGATGAGACTCCATGCACGGCAGACACACAGGGAGATTAGATGGAGAGGTGGCTGGCTGGATGTATCGCCTGGGCCTGTTCTGGTTCTCCTGGATGGATGGATGAACAGATGGTAGATGATGGGTAGAGAGGTTGGTAGAAAGATGCGTGGATGATGGATGCATGCCTGGATGAGAAGGATGGACAGATAAATGGGACATGATGAGTAGGTAGCTAGACGGATGGATGGATGGATGCAAGGATGAGAAGGATGGATGGATGCTGGGTGATGCATAGGTACATGGATGGATTGACAAATGGATGCATGGAAGACGATGGATGGATGGATGAATAGACAGTAGATAGAGCACACCGAGGTAAATGGATGTATAGATGGATGAGATGGATGGATGAGGATGGATGGGTGAGTGAATAGATGGTAGATAATACATAGGTAGATGGATGGGTGAATACATGGTAGATGATGGATGGGTGGAAGGATGGGTGAATACATGGTAGATGATGGATGGATGGATTCATGGATGGGTGAGAAGGATGGATGGGTGAATAGATGGTAGATGATGGACGGATGGATGGATGCATGGGTGAGAAGGATGGATGGGCGAATAGATGGTAGATGGATGGATGGATGGATGGACGGAGGGGTGAATAGATGGTAGATGATGGATGGATGGATGCATGGGTGAGAAGGATGGATGGGTGAAGAGATAGTAGATGATGGATGGATGGATGCATGGGTGAGAAGGATGGATGGCTGAAGAGATGGTACATGATGGATGGATGGATCAGAGGATGGATGGGTGAAGAGATGGTGGATGATGGATGGATGGATCAGAGGATGGATGGGTGCATAGATGGTAGATGATGGGTACATGGACGGATGGATAGATAGGATAGATGACGGATGGATGGATAGATAATAAATGATGGACAGAAGACAGATTGGTGACAGATGATTGTTACAAGGCCAGACACAGTGGCTCACGCCTGCCATGCTAGCATTTTGGGAGGCTACGGCGGGAGGATAGTTTGAGCCCAGGAGTTTGAAACCAACCTGAGCAACATAGTGAGAGACCCTGTCTCTATTTTATTTCATGTTAAAGAGGATGACAGATGATAGATGTATAAAGGGAGACAGAGATGGGGTGGGGAGAGAGAGGAAGAGACAGAGAGAGATGAGGCAGGAGAGGAGGAGGAGGAAAGGGGAGAAACGAAGATATTGATGATAGATGAGACACATAAAGAGACAGAGGAGGAGAGAGAGGAAGAGAGACAGAGGAAGAAAGACAGGCTGCAATGGGTCACGTCTTTAGCCCCAGCACTTTGGGAGGCTGAGGCAGGTGGATCGCTTGAGCCCAGGAGTTTGCGAGTAGCCTGGGCAACAGAGCCAGACCCCATCTCTACAAAAAGCAACAATTTTTTAAACTACCAGGGCATGGTGACATATGTCTGTACTCTCAGCTACTCGGGAGGCTGAGGGGGAGGATTGCTTGAACTCAGGAGGTCAAGGCTGCAGTGAGTTAGGATGACAGACGGTCCTCCAGCCTGGGTGACAGAGTGAGACTCCCATCACCACAAAAAAAGTTGTTTTTTTTTTTTTTTTTTTTGAGATGGAGTCTTGCTCTGTCGCCCAGGCTGGAGTACAGTGGCAAGATCTCAACTCACTGCAACCTCTGCTTCCGGGTTCAAGCCATTCTCCTGCTTCAGCCTCCCTGGGATGACAGGCGCCCACCACCACGCCTAGCTAATTTTTTATATTTTTAGTGAAGACGGGGTTTTACCGTGTTAGCTAGGATGGTCTCGATCTCCTGACCTCGTGATCCACCCGCCTCGGCTTCCCAAAGTGCTGGGATTACAGACGTGAACCACTGCGCCCGGCCACAAAAAAACTTTTTTTTTTTAGAAGAAGTCTTGCTCTTGTCACCCAGGCTGGGGTGCAGTGGTGCGAGCTCAGCTGACTGCAACCTCCTGAGTAGCTGGGACTACAGGTGCCCGCCACCACGTCCATCTACTTTTTTTTTGTATTTTTAGTAGAGACAGGGTTTCACCATGTTGGCCAGGCTGGTCTCGAACTCCTGACTTCAGGTGACTCCCCGTACTTTGTCCTCCCAAAGTGCTGGGATTACCGGTGTGAACCACCGTGCCCAGCCACACAAAACCAAGACAAACAAAAAAAAAAAAAAGTTTTAAAAAATTAGCTGGGCGGCTGGGCGTGGTGCCTCACGCCTGTAATCCAAGCACTTTGGAGGCCAAGGTGGGTGAATCACCTGAGGTTGGGAGTTCAAGACCAGCCTAACCAGGATGGTGGAATCCCGTCTTTATAAAAAAAAAAAAATTAAAAAAAAAAAATTAGCTGGGCATGGTGATGCATGGGTGGAGTCCCGGCTACTCCGGAGGCTGAGGTGGGGGGATGGCTTCAGCCCCGGAAGGCAAGGCTGCAGTCGGCTGTGACCGCGCCACCGCATACCAGCCTGGGTCTCCGAGTGAGAGCTTGTCTCAAAAATATACGTAAGGAGATAGATACGGCTGGGCGCAGTGGTTCACGCCTGTAATCTGAGCACTTTGGGAGGCGGAGGTGGGTGCATCACCTGAGGTCGGGAGTTTGAGACCGGCCTGACCAACATGGTGAAAACCTCTCTACAAGAAGAAGAAAAAAAAATGCAAATATCAGCTGGGTGTGGTGGCTCACGCCTGTAATCCCAGCTCTGGGAAGCTGAGGCAGGCAAATCATGAGGTCAGGAGTTCGAGATCAGCCTGGCTAACACGGTGAAGCCTTATCTATACTAAAAATACAAAAAATTAGCCGGGCGTGATGGCGCATGCCTCTGATCCCCGCAATTCAGGAGGGTGAGACGGGAGAACTGCTGGGACCCGGGAGGCGGAGGTTGCAGTGAGCTGAGATCGCACCACTGCACTCCAGCCTGAGGCACAAGAGCAAGACTCCATCTAAAGAAAAACACAGAGAAATAGATACACACAGAGAGAGAGAGGGACAGAGAAAGGGGTGGAGGCCCCTTGAGCAGCCAAGCCTGTAGGGAGTCGAGTTTCAACCCACAGGAAGTGAGGCTCCCTGGCTCTGTTAAGGTCATCAAACGTTTTCTCTGCAAATATTCGAGGCATTTTTGCTGCAGCTGCAACGTTCAACTCTGAGTCCAGGAACGGAGCCTGAGCAGCTGCGAGATTCCCTCAGGGCCGGCTCGTGTCACTGTGGACATCCGATGCGTGGCCCTTGCCCGACCCCTGGAGCTTGGGGTTCCTGCAGCCCCACCCGCTCCAAGGGCAGCCTGGGTACCCGGGGAGACACGTGGTGTGAATGTGAAGGCTTTGAGCTGAGATGCTGGGTGCTGTGTGTGTGCACGGGGCGGGTGCCTGTGTAGAAACACATACATTAGTCACAGCGGGTCCTTGAGTGACATGGATTTAAACTGCAGGGTCCACGGATGCGTGGATTTCCCTCCGTCTCGGCCACCCCTGAGATGGCAGGAGCCAGTCCCGCTTCCTCCTCCTCTGCGGCCTCCTCAATGGGAAGACGAGGACAATGAAGATGTCTGAGGCCGGGCGCGGTGGCTCACAGCACTTTGGGAGGCTGAGGCGCGTGGATCACGAGGTCGGGACTTCGACACCAGCCTGGCCAACATGGTGAAACCCCGTCTCTACTAAAAATACAAATATTGCCTGGACGTGGTGGCGGGTGCCTGAAACGCCAGCTATGCGGAGGCTGAGGCTGGATAATCGCGTGAACCCGGGAGGCGGAGGTTGTGGCGAGCCGGGGTCATGCCACTGTATTCCAGCCTGGGAGACAGAGCAGGACTCCATCTCGAAAATAAATAAATAAATAAAAGACCACTTCAACTCCGTGAATACTAAACAAACTTTCTCTTCTTTAGGATTTTTTTTTTTTTTTCCGCAGACGGAGTCTCACTCTGTTGCCCAGGCTGGAGTGCAGTGGCGTGGTCTCGGCTCACTGCAGTCTTGCCCTCTGCCTCCCAGGTTCTAGAGAGCCTCACTGCAGCCTCTGCCTCCCAGGTTCAAGGGATTCTCCTGCCTCAACCTCCCGAGTAGCTGGGACTAGGGACGCTCGCCATCACGCCTGGCTAATTTTTTTTTAGTACAGACAGCATTTTGCCACGTTGGCCAAGCTAGTCTTGAACCCCTGACTTCGGGTGATGCACCCACCTTGACCTCCGAAAGGGATGTGCACGTGCGCCTGGCTGGCTGAGATGAACATTGAACTCAGCAGACTTTGGGGTTTTTTTTGAGACAGACTCTCACTCCTTCACCGAGGCTGCATTGCACGTGCACGGGCACAGGTCCCTGCAGCCTCAAACTCCCGGCTGAAGCCATTCTCCCACCTTGGCCTCCCTACGTGTGGGGATGACAGGCATATATTGGCTTACTTCACTTTTAGATTTTTTTAATTTTTAATTTTTGAGACGGAGTTTTGCTCTTGTTGCCCAGGCTAGAGTGCAGTGGTGTGATCTCGGCTCACTGCAACCTCCGCATCCCAGGTTCAAGCGATTCTCCTGCCTCAGCCTCCTGAGTAGCTGGGATTACAGGTACATGACACCACCCCCGGCTAATTTTGTGTTTTTAGTAGAGATGGAGTTTCACCAACTTGGCCAGGCTGGTCTTGAACTCCCAGCCTCATGTGATCCGCCTGCCTCGGCCTCCCAAAATGCTGGGATGACAGGTGTGAGCCAGCTCGCCAGGCCGAGATTCTGTCTCATAAATAAACAAACAAACAAATATAATCCGGCAGGTAGATGCTTGGGAAGCGGGGAGCACTGATTGGTCAGGCTGGAGATGGAATCACAGGGCGTTAAAGTGAGTTTTCCTTACCATGTTCTGTTCCTGCACGGCGGTCACAAAAATGGTTGAATCTGGGTGGTTCAGACTTGGAGCTAGAGACTTCATGACCCCTAAAAACTGTTATTCTTTCTTTTTCTTTCTTTTTTTTTTTTTTTGAGACAGAGTTTCACTCTTGTTGCCCAGGCTGGAGTGCAATGGCACGATCTCAGCTCACTGCAACCTCCGCCTCCTGGGTTCAAGAGATTCTCCCGCCTCAGCCTCCCCAGTAGCTGGGATTACAGGCACCCACCACCACGCCCGGCTCATTTTGTATTTTTAGTAGAGACGGGGTTTCATGTTGGCCAGGCTGGGCTCGAACTCCTGACCTCCCGTGATCCGCCCGCCTCGGCCTCCCCAAGTGCTGGATGACCCTGCGCCCGGCCTCCTGTGGAAAGTTGAACCAAAAACGCGACGTGCTGACGAAAAAGTGAGCCTGCCAGGCGTTTCTCACCTGGCTTGCAGCTCTGCGCGACGCGGTCGAGTATCTTGTGGGCTTTGTCATCCGGCCAGTCGTGCAGGATCTGGCATAGGACGTACAGGTCTGCAGCGGGGAGGGGGTCCCGGAAAAAGTCACCTGGTTTAAACACAAACGGTGACGCGTCCGTCAGCTATGGGAGAAGCAGTCTTCCATTTTTTTTTTTTTTTTTCTTAGATGGAGTCTCGCTCTGTCGCCCAGGCTGGAGTGCAGTGGTGTGATCTCGGCTCACTGCGACCTCCGCCTCCCGGGTTCAAGCAACTCTCCGGCCTCAGCCTCCCAAGTAGCTGGGATTACAGGCGCCCGCCACCACGCCCGGCTAACTTTTTTATTTTTAGAATAGACGGGGTTTCACCATGTTGACCAGGCTGGTCTCGAACTCCTGACCTCGTGATCCACCCGCCTCGGCCTCACAAAATGCTGGGATGACAGGCGTGAGCCACGAAGCCATCATCCCCCGACAGATGCTGGGACGGCCACGCGCGTCCTAAATCAGGCAGGGAGAAGAGACGGGCGTGGCTGGGAATGGGTGTGCCCAAGGAATATCCCCGTGGGGACTTGGAATGGAGCGCTGTGAAGAGCTAGTGAGTGATGTCCCACCCGTGTGATTGGATTCCGCCAAGGAAAAGGTCGGCCGCGGTGGCTCACCCCTGTCACCTCAGCACTTTGGGAGCCTGAGGTGGGGGTACAGTCTGAGGTCAGGTTTTTGAGACCAGCCTGGGCAACACGGCGAAACCCCACGTCTAATCGCCACTAAAAATACAACTTAGCCGGGCGTGCTGGCGGGTGCTGGTATTTCTAGCTACTCGGGAAGCTGAGGCAAAACAATCGCTTGAACCTGGGAGGCGGAGGTCGCGGGGAGCCAAGATTGCACCACTGCACTGCAGCCTGGCTGACAAAGAAAAATTTTAAAAGGCAGTAAATTCAGGGGCATCAGCCGGGCAAGGCAGGTAGGGTCAGCATGAAGCGGGGTCTCCGTCTGCCGGGGGAAGTCAGGTCTTCGCTGTCACTTCCCGGATTCAGGCGCCCGGGGAGGCTTGCCTGCAGGGGGTGTATGGAGCTACGCACCGCTCTGTAATTGCAGAAATAAAAAGATGGTCTGCTGTGGTGCAGTGAATGGTCCCCCTTAAAAGATGCGTTCAAGGCCGGGCGCGGTGGCTCACGCCTGTAATCCCAGGACTTTCAGAGGTCGAGCTGGGTGGCTCACCTGAGGTCAGGAGTTCGAGACCAGCCTGGCCAACATGGTGAAACCCCATGTCTAATAAAAATACAAAAATTACCCGGGCGTGGTGCGGGAGCCTGTCGTCCCAGCCACCACACCCAGCTTATTTTCGTATTTTTAGTAGAGACGGGGTTTCACCATCTTGGCCAGGCTGGTCTCGAACTCTCAACCTCAGGTGATCCACCCGCCTCGGCCTCCCAAAGTGCTGGAATGAGAGGCGTGAGCCACCGCACCTGGCATATTGATCATCATTATTAATTTTTATTTATTTTTGTTCGAGATGGAGTTTCGCTCTTGCCGCCCAGGCTGGAGTGCAGTGGTCTGATCTCGGCTCACCGCAACCTCTGCCTCCCTCCCGGGTTCAAGCAATTCTCCTGCCTCAGCCTCTCGAGTAGCTGGGATTTCAGGCGCCAGCCACCACGCCTGGCTAAGTTTTTTGTATTTTTTTTTTTTTTTAAGACGGGGTTTCAGGCCGGGCACGGTGGCTCACGCCTGTAATTCAAGCACTTTGGAGGCCAAGGCGACTGGATCACCTGAGGCCGGGAGTTCAAGACCAGCCTGACCAACATGTTGAAACCTCATCTTTAAAAAAAAAAAAAAAAATTAAAAAACAAAAAAGAAAAAGACGGGGCTTCACCATGTTGGTCAGGCTGGTCTGGAACTCCCGACCTCAGGTGATCCGCCTGCGTTGGCCTACAAAATGCTTGGATTTCAGGTGCCAGCCACCACGCCTGGCTAAGTTTTTTGTATTTTTTTTTTAAAGATGGGGTTTCTCCATGTTGGTCAGGCTGGTCTGGAACT